GAGATGCAGTCAACACAATGTATTATGTTTTAAATAGGGTAAACATTGATCAAAGCTAAATAAAACTCCTTATGAACTCCTTAAGGGTCGGACACGAATCTTTCACACTTAAATGTCTTTGGTGCAAGTGCTTCATCTGGAATAATGGCAAAACATCCTTTGAAAAATTTGATCCAAGCCTTGATGAGGGTGTCTTCTTAGGTTATTCATCTGTAGGTTAAGGCCTATATAATCTTTAATAGAGAACCTTAGTAGTAGAAGAGTCCACGCCATGTAGTATTTGATGAATCAGATAAGTCCTCTGAAAATAAAATTGAAGATGATGAAATAGAGGTAATTCAAGGAGTAGAAGCTATGACCTTAGGAGAAAGAGTAGAACCTGAGGAAGATTTGCTAGAGAATGAGATATTCTTTTAGTCATCCTAAAGAGGTAAGTTTTAGAAGACCCATCAAGAAGGTGTTAGGATTAGGCGATGGACTTAGGAAGAGGTTAGTCATTCAGCTATTATCTCTATGATAGAACCTATAAGTATAGATCAAGCCTTAGGAGATGAAATATGGATTCTAAAAATGCAAGAAAGAGCTGATCAATTCACTTGAGAATGATGTTTTTGGGAGTTAGTCAAGAGAACTAAAGAACAAAGTATTGTTGGAACAACATGGGTCTTTAAAAATAAGGTGAATGATTCAATGAACAATTAATAGAAAATAAAGAAAGATTATGAGTTCACGAGACAGATGCTTTTTTTTTGGAATTACGTGACAGCTGCTCATGAAAGTGGACGGGCAGGAAAAAAAAATCGGGCGGGAGAAATGAAAATGGACGGGCGGTAAAATGCCAAATTGAATCGAGCCGGCTCGAGCTCGTTTATAGAGGGACGAGCTCGAGCTTGAGCTCGTCTGTCGAGCTCGACTCGAGCTCGAGCTCGAGTTTGAGCTCGCTTTTCGACTAACGAGCCGAGCTCGATAAGGCCTAAACTCGACTCAACTCGACTCGTTTACACCCCTACCCTCAATCAAGGCATTAATGACCCATTGATATGAAATCAATTTTCAAATTATCTTCCCCTCAATTTCATTCAAATCTGAAATTAAATTTCAGATTTGGAAACGAAACCCCCTTCCTCCCCTCTTGAACCCGCCGGCCTCCCTTAATGGGCTCCCCATTAATTGTCCATTAACCCCCTTGACCTCATTTGAAATTTGAACATAATTCCAAATTGGTTTTCCCTCCAAATCCACTTAAACCTGAAATTAATTTTAGGTTTAGATTAAACTATATTCCTCTCTTGGACTAAACCTACTTCCTCTTCCCCTAGCCGACCCCTCCCCACCCTTTCCCTCTTCCCCTTCTCCACTTTGGCCATCCCTCTCCTTGCTCCACCTTCGGAAGTTTGAAGCCAAGAGAAGAAGAAGACGACGTCATCCCACCTCCACTTCAATGATGTATGGCCGATCCCGAAGTTGATAGCGGATTCGTACTCGATGCCTACATAGACATCCACATCGTTCGATCTCCATTCTTCGACTTCGGGTTTGGTTTTGACAACACTGTTGAAGACTACTTGAACCGAATCCTCCCCACCCTCGTGGACATCATCGACGATCAATTCTCGGACTACAAGTGGACCATCAACGGCCATCCACCCGTGCCACCTCCACCACCGTCGACCTTTCCGTGGATTAAGACCATTGGCATTGTGACCGTCCTCGTGGCTTCGTTGGGTGTGCTGAAGACCTTTCTCTGCTAAGCCAAACTTTGAGTGTAAGTGAGCATGGTACCTCATAGTAAAATTTCTAAATATTAATCGTGGGATTGTATTACTACATGTTTGTTTTACTGTGATAATTTCATATCTATCTTAACTTGATTAAACTTCTGATTTGTAACTGCCTACTACAATAAGATTGACGATTGAATGTTTTCTAATCTCATGTTAAGAAATCTTAATCTTAAGTAGCGAGCTTTGTCATCCTTTTAAATATTTCCGTGCAATTCTTGTTTGTATCACATCAGTCTGCCTCTACCTTTCTTAACATAAGTCAAATCTAATACATCTACTCTCCTAACCGGGTCATTGGAAGGCCGCCGTTTTATGAGACCAAACCATCTAAGGCGACTCTCTCTAATCTTATCTGCTACTGGAGCTACTCCAACCTTTTCACGTATATGCTCATTTCGTATACTATCTCTAAGGGTAAAGCCACTCATCCACCTGAGCATCCTCATCTCTGCCACACTTACCTTAGTATTATGCTTCTCTTTTAATGGCCAACATTCAGCACCATAAAGCATTGCAGGCCTCACTACCATCTTATACAATTTTCTCATAAGTTTGAGGGCTACTTTTCTATCACACAACAAGCCCGATGCATTCCTCCACTTCAACAATCCAACTTGAATTCTGCTGATAATATCCCCATCTATTTCACCATCACTCTGAACAATAGATCCAAGATATCTAAAACGTGTACTCTTATTAATAACTTGATCTCCAAAGTCACAATCCCCTCACTAGGTCCATTACTATTAAAATTACACTCCATATATTCCGTTTTAGATCTACTCAAGCGAAAACCTTTAGTCTCTAATGTTGACCTCCATAATTCAAGTTTACTTTCAACTCCCTCTCTAGTCTTATCAACAAGAAGAATATCATCAGCAAAAAGCATACGCCAAGGTACATCCTCTTGCAAATTTCTAGTGAACATCCATGCCCACCATCCACATCAAGCAGACCATGATAATTTTTTTCAATCCTAAAACCCAAAATTGCTACTAATATAAGCTAAACACTCAGCACCTAATCATTAGCCTGAATTTAAAGTTCCCTCTAGGAACTAGAAGGGGTAGTTAACCATAGAGAATTGTGCTTATGAGAAACTTGTAGCAATATCATAAAATATTCGTAAAATAAGGGTTAAATCTTTGGGCAGTATCTTTCTACAAGATGGTCTACTTTCTTCAAACTCAAAGCCAAGCTGAAGCGTGCCTTGAATAACTTTTAATAAAATTTAGATCTAGTCGTCAAATTTAAAAAACATAACAATAACACAAAAAGTAACAAAAAATAACTTGCATATTCAATGAATAAAGATTTTCATATTTGCATCACACCTCAGCTTCAAATCCTTTAGTTCTGCAAAGTTAATTGGAAGCATACTTTCATAGCTTTCCTTCAATATTGTGCTCACTTCCTCACATCTTAGTCTAATGTCATCAGTAAAAGTTTTGGAATCAGATTTTTTTTTTTTTTCGTGCTTTCCTTCCTGAAATATTTTCAACAGCCATAGGACAAACTAATTCAAACCAAGCCTGTTAATTTCAGGAGAAAAAGGAAGACCTGGTTCCACCCTGCATAACCAAAGCATTAGACAACTTTAAAAGTTGAAGCCCAGGAAAATAGTGCTACCCAAAAAAACCAACTTAGCTAAAAAATTACAGTAAACCCGTTCCTAGTTCATCAAAGCATGGTGCATTTCAGATACTCCTATGATTCTGCTGCTTGCAATCCTCATAATCATCAATTAATTCAGGGAAGAAGGGCGTCACTTTCATGGAATTGCAACACTTCAAAAATAAAATCAAGAACTTCACAGGAGCTCCGCTTCCAGATGTACATAAAACCAGGTATAAGATCGCTCCATCCCTTACCCCCTCTCTCTTGGACTCCACCTCATTGGTATTTCCTGCCGACAAAGCTTCCGCCTCCCTCATTTTTATGCATTTCTTTTCCTCCTCTTCCCTTGCCACCTCCTTGATCCTTCAATGTAAGAATCAAAATAGAGGCAACACGGAGTAGGAGAAGAAAAAGGAACCATTTCTTATTAGCATTTCTGTGATAGATCATCTTATACGCTTTGATACATATTGTTCAAGAGAAAGATAGCATCAGCCACGCCCCAAACAATTTAGTCAACTATGTTTTAAGAATAAATAAGACTGTCATGGTTAGCTTATCTCCTGTCCCGTGTTTGTTCATACTCACACACACATAAAATGGAAAATGGAAAATGATTTAAAATACCCGTAAGAACAAATTTAATAAGACTGGAAATTCTCAAATGAAATGAAGACGCCATTGCAAATGCAAATGTTGACAACAGCGCAGTCCATTATTGGTAAAAGAAACCTTTAAGTCACCAAACCATTCAAAAGATGTTTTTTTCTTAATTTACACACTATCAAAAAACATAAAAGTTAAAAGTAATGCATATGCATATATTATTTTCGTTGTTAAAACAAACAAAAAATAGCCATTTACCTGTAATGAATTTATGATATGGATGATTCTTGGAACTCAGATGCTTTTGAAGCTGGTAAAGGTCGAAAGAAATGAGCATGTATTATCAATGATTAACAAAACAATTATTAAGAGAAAAGTAAGGAACAAAGATAGCAAAGTGAATAAATGAGCAAATAACCAAGAAAACATAAACAAGTGGTAATCCGGAATGACAAATACGCATCTTATTTTTGTCAACTCATACTTAAATAACACTGTGATATGAGTCTCCACTTTTGCCATAAAAAATTCAAACATTTAAGAATCTTCTCTTTCTAGAATAAAAACCATGATGGCATGCTGTAAACCTTCTTCTAAATGAGTGTTGTATCCAGCAATGGATTGGAGTACCTGTTCCTAACCCAAGCTGCCCAGAACCCTAACCTTTTACAACTACTCATTCCTTCTTCCCCTCCCTACTCCAGCTCCACCGGAGGCTGACCATCTATATCCATATGAAATCCCCGCCACCCACCTCATCCTCTACCCTTGACAGTCCCTTTAATAAGCATCAGCTGGCTTCTCCACACAAGATGCTTTTATCCGATATTTTTCCCAACCTTAACTTTCCCCCATTAATCATCTTCAAAACAAGCATGCATACTTATCTTCCCCTTCTTCTACCACTGATTCCGTTAACCCCTCTTCTTCCAAAACTACCAAAAATCCATCGTCTACCTCCTTCCCCGATTCCTTTGTTGAGCCTGAGGACAACATGGCTTGCTTCACTAACTCTGAAGTGGAAGAGAGCTCCAACGAATGGGACTTGTCTTTAATCGGACATGCTATCGTAAAACATACTTATTATAAAGTTTTACTTCCAATAGCACAAGAAGTCTGGCAATTAAAAGGTACCAAGTCTCTACTATCGCTCAATGATGTCTTCATCCTTTTTTAAGTTTCCAAACATAGTGAGAAATTGGAGGCGGCATTGGTTCTTCTTCGGAAAAGAGGTTGCCTGACTTTCACCCTAAGAGAGAAGAGTTTAGTACTATCACTATGTATATCAAAATTTATGATTTGCCACTTAGTTTGATGTGAAACAAACAGGAATTGCAAGAAGGTAATAAAATTATCGTAAAGCTTGCTACTTTAAGATTAATGAGCCACAATAATTAATTTTAAGAATTATCAATTGTCATTTTGCTTTGGCATGCAGTCACAATTTTAGGAGAACATAACGACTTAAAATAATATCAGAAAAATACAATAAAACTAAATGTGTCATAAAAAGAATCCATTGGTTAATATTTAAAGCTTTTCACCTAGGGTTTCCTCTCTCACTCACACTCTATGAGAGGCTTTAGCGGAGAGAGATTTTCAGCAATCCAAACGATGCCACCAAGAAAGTTATGACGCTGACGGTCTTGATCCACGGGAAGGTAGCCAGAGAAGGAGGCGCAGGTGGCCGTCCGACGAGTTGCCACTATCCAGAAGGTTGTTGTTCGTCAATAGTCTCGGCTAGATGAAATATAATGCAGTCGACGTAGTCTTCGACGGAATCTTCAAACTCCAAGTCGGGGTCGAAGAAATGTCGACTGAAGGATATCAATTTGTCCTTAAGAATCGTAGGTGAATCCGTGGTCGACTTCAGGATCGGCCATCCATTAATATTGGAGACTTCTTTATTGGGATCCTTGTAGGAGCCGGCAGCTTGTAATTGGGGAAGGGAGAGGAAGAGCCGACGGTTGGGGTGTCGGGTAGAGAGGGAAAAGGAGGGGGGCGGCTAGGGTTTATGGGAAACTTCTTGGGTTTAGGGCTAGGGAGGTGGAAGGGATGAGTTAGAAAATTTTGAATTTAATTTCTGATTTTTCCAAGGGAGGGAAAGGGATTAGTTTGAATTCCAAATTATCCCAAATTAGGCTAAAGGGTGCGGCGGCTTAGGAGGGAATTATGAGGGGGTTTAATAAGGATTAAGGATTAATTGGAGAGAGAAAAGCCAAGGGGAAGGGCCGGCCATATGAGGAGGGGAGGGAGTGTCTAGATTCAATGTATGTAGGCCCTTTAATTTATATGATGATTGAAATCAGATCTTTGATTTAATTTCAAATTTTGAGGTAATTATGGACTTTCCTAAAATAGTTTCATCAATCAAGAAAGTGGTTTAAATTCAAATATTAATTTTAATTCAAATAGTAAACTTTCCTAATTAATAATAGGTTATTTTAGGAAGGGAATTAAAGGGAAAATTGAAATGGAAATTAAGCATGTAAACACTAGGGGTCAGTGGCTTGGAGACCTTGGGAGGCCGGCGGCTTGGGGGCCTTGGGAGGCTGACAATGTGGGGTGGTGGGGCGGCGGCAAGGGGAGGGATTCTCCGTTAGAGGAGAGAAGGGGGGATGTGGTGGAGCCGTCAGGTGGGGGAAGTTTGGAAGGGGAGCCGGCGGGTGTAGGGAGGATGGGGAGGTGGCCGGATGTAAGGGAGGAGAAAAAAGAAAAAATAAGCCACGACTCTCAGACTCTTCCAAAGGCTAACGAGTATTGCAATCACCCTCACTTAGGGCTCTCTTTCTTCTCTCAAAGCTCACAATAATGAATAAGAGAAAAGATCAAAATTTTATTCATCAAAATCATGATCCCAAATATAATAGAAGGGGCCTTATATATAGGCTTCAACATGACAAAAGAAAAAAAGTACTAGAATGCCCATAGGGCTACAATAGCAAACTAACTTACCATAGGAGTATAGTAGGAAAACTGAAATATAAAAATAAACAATATATAAAATGCATCAAAAATAAAGGCTCCTGATCGTGACCGTCAATCTCTGATGTCTCATCTGATAAATGCGCAAAAATCTCTTGTTGATGTCATCATCATAGTTGCTAGAACCCAAGCGAATTTCTAAGATCGCCAGTGTGATTGGCCAACCCTTGGCTATTGATAATTTGACTATTAAAACAAAATCAGATTATCCTTTTGCATGAGTTTGTGTCCAAGTTGAAAAAATTTTGAGTTTACCTTATCTGATTTTCATTAGTTTAAGATGCAAACAACAAACTCTACACGTCCACTACGACTAGAAGCCCGTTCTTTGCATTAATTGGGTTTTTTTTTTCTATCCTTCTAATCTATGCCCTACAAATACAACCCCTATGACCCCCAACCCTAAACCCAAGAAATGCACAGACAACTAAAACCCAACCATAGCAACCACACTCAACCTCAACTACACCACATGCACATTAACATGTTATCTCTCTGAATAATATTTAAGGCAAGGAGGTTAACACTGTAGACCCCACCCACCCATCTATTTCACAAGCAACTTCATTACAAGAAATAATTCCAATCCTAAACATTCCTCCTTCTGATCCTTTCTCTTTTGTTGATCCTAAGCAGACGGCCACTCTTACCCAAAATCGCTTCAACTCATTAAACAATGACAAATAAACCACAACTTAGCCTCCTCTGAAAACAAAACAAATGCAAAAAAACCTTCGAATGACAACTCTCTATTAGCAAGAAAGAACAAAAATCCAAACTTGGCCAAAAAACATGCCACCCATACCTCTAAAGCACAATGAGTTACCCAACTTCTGCCGCTAGGAATGTTAGGCCATAATGGGTGGGTTACATAGGGTGCTAAATTGCAAATCCCTCATCCAATCTTTCAACCTTGACATATTTTGCATTCTAGAAGCAAAAATTTATAGTATCCAAGCTTCTAACAAGTGGTTCCTCAATCACCATAAGCTCTTCAATAATAAAAGCAACTAAAAAAACTTCATGCTTGTTCACCCTGGCACAATTTGGTTGAAATGGAATGCCTTTAAAAGGATCTTCACTGCCATCACTTGGCATAACTACATATCAATTCTTAGATTTAACAAAATGCATTGCGTTCAGGTTAAAACGGGTATGCTGGAATCACATAAATGAAAGAAAAGTGTAAGGGAATGATTTTGGCACAACATTTTTGGCAGGGGATCCCTGTTCTCCAGCAGAATCAACTGATTTCCCATCCTTCTTTATACTTGAATTTATACCATTCTGTAATTTTATCTATGAGGACAGTAATTTTATGCACTTAACTAGACATTATTCAAAACTTGCATATCGATCAAAATAACTTATGCCAACTTGCAATCAGTGCAGTAAATATTATATTTGCAGACATCTAAAACAGATGAAACAGGGGACAACCAAACAAAACATGAAAAAATAAAGAAAAATACCTGATTCATCCGCCAAACATCTGATAACAAATTTTTCTGATTCTCTAAGTTAAAAGAAAAAAAAAACATGTGTTGACACATTAATCAACCGACCACATAAAAATCGGGAATATAACGGAGACAAATGAAGAGAAATCACCAACCAGAGTCCACTGCTTTTATTTCTCTAATAGTAGCGTCAGGGGACATCAATGGCTTGATAAAGAATTGCGCAAACCTTAAACAAGTAACAAACAAAACTGAAGGTCACATACAAGAAAATGCAATGCAAAAAGCAGTAAAAAATACATTTTACCTGTCCAAACCTTCTTCCAGACAATCTGTGTTAATATCAAAGTAGAAATTTGTATGCTCCGCAGTGGTGAAAGCATTAGTAGAGCCGCCATGCTTAGTTTTAGTATTAATGATAATGTAATGTGGATGCAAATATTAGTTCTTCAATTGAAAACCAAAGCAGAACGTACAAAGCAAGAATGAGCATATGAAATATTAGAAGCACAAAGAAAAATGAAGATAAAACACAACGTATAAATAGATCAGAAAATAATATGGCACAATATTTCAAAAATGTAAAAAACGTTGAACTGAAGGTGTTGAGTGTCATAGTAAGTGGCTCGAAAGAAGATAAAGAAAAGAATAAAAGGAAATAGCATATACCTCTATTATATACTTTGAGTAACTTTCTTCAACTGGATATTTCTCACTAGCATAAAACAACATATGTTCTGCAATAGAGAGATAACCAAAGAAGCAAGCAAACTATTTATGGTCAATATAAAGATCAGAAGAAATAATTGCTGAGAAAATAAACAGACTTGCCGAGCAGATGTGCACAAAAACATTTATCAAGATACAGTTAGAAAATTGTTATGAAGGTACATTTCCAAACCAACGGTGCTTTCATCTCAAGTTCTCACTTTGTTAAAAAACTTCTGTATAGAGAGGTAGTGATATAGCTATACACGCTGGTATGGTAACAAAAAATCTCCAGCAAAATAAAAAAGCAGCAAGAAAAAGGAGTACGCTTTTACCTAAAAGAAATGCATATTTTTTAATCCAACAATTTCTCCATATAGCAATTGTCCCGCAACTGAAAAGGTAAATCAGTCCCAAAAGCTTACTGCTAGAAAACATGGACGCCAAGAACAAACAAGAACTTTATGTGCCTTCGGGGTTCATAAGCAATCTTTCTGAGTGGCAAAGGCTGGATTAAAATATCCTTGCACATATAATTCATTACTGGCCATTCAAACAAGAACATGAACAATCTAATCTTGTCTTTGCAGCTTTATGTAATGCCTCTAGGTCCACAATTGACCTTTAACAGATTATATTGAATAATTTACATAACTTTCACATAAACGTTTTTATTGCATTTACAGAGCCTTCGAGATAGTTATATGCTTTAAATAGAAATAAAACAAAAGCAATAAAGCATCACCAATATCCTATAATCCAGAGGCATCATTAATGTTGCAAAAATTACCCTATCACATTCAGTATATGTGATGCGGACATCCAACCATCCATGCCTATCCGAGGAGGAGTTGAAGATCGACGGCCGTGATCGTCCTACATTATCTTAAATTTTTATTTGTAATTTTTATTTTAATTGTGCATTTTTCATTTTTACCCTCACTTAAGGGTTTAATCTTATGTAAACCCTAGGGGCATGATCGTCTTATTTTAGTTTCTTTTATTTTAAGGCCTACATATAGAGGCCCTTGCTAGTGTAATGGGATGATAGAGTTTTAATAAAAATTTTGTTATGCACTTTTGTTCCTTGGGAGGACTTAGGTGAGAACCTATGGGAGGGAATCGTAGTTTTCACCAGTCGCAGGATAGGTCCAGGCTCGTGGCTTGAAGTCCCTTGGTGAAAGGAAACACATCACCCGTCAGCCGCAGGAAGTGTCCGGGCTCATGGTTTATTTTCTTTCACTAATCCCCCACATCTTTCTCCTTTAACCGCCGGCTAAATTTTCCCCTAGCCGTCGACATTCTACCTCTCATCCTCTTCCCCACCACCGGCCACCCACCCCCTTTCCTTTTTAACCGTCTGCCACCACCCTCCCCTTCTTCCAATCGCCGGTCTCCTCCCCATCTCCACCACAAACCGCCACATTTGGGTTTTCCAAAACCCTAGCCGTTAGCCCCTTCAATCCAAAGTGGTCCTTGCCTTTGCTACTCCCCAAAGTTAGGTTATGAAGATTGGGAGGGAAAATAATTCAAATTCATATTTGAAATCTTTCCTAATTTAGCATGACCAATATTTGGAAAGTTTTAATCATTCGATTCAAAATTCAAATTTAAATTAAAAGGAAATAGAAGTCATCAATTCATCCTAATTTAATTAGCCTTATTTAGGAAACCCCATTAAACATTTCCTTAACCCTCCCTCTCTCTTTGAAGCCGCCAGCCCCCTCCCTCTTTCTCCCTCCATTCAAGTAATTTATTTCCCCTTATTTTTCTCCAATTAACTCCCATGAATTTAATTTGAATTTTAAATTTTGAAATGTCTTTAATCCCTTTCCTAATTTAAGATTTTAATTAAAGAGTCATTCAATTACCCCATTATCATCTTCCTAAGTTAGTCCTATCTTATTTGGAAAGATTTCGTAATTCATATTCAAATGAATTTGAATTTTAAAATCTTTCTGAAATATCCTACACCTATTTTAGGAAATTCCCCTCAATTAGTGCAAATCTGAAATAAATGATGGGATTTGAATTTAATTTCGTATGTTGACACATACATTGAATGTGGACAATTCTCCCTCTCCCCTCTCTCTTTAGCCGACCCCCATCCCTCCCTCCCTTCTCCAATTAATTTGAAATTTAAAAGTTCACATGACCCCCCTCCCGTTCTACATCAACATGCCACTAACCATTGTCTAATCAATGACTCGCTCACCATCTATCAGACAAGGCTTTCAACTCAGCTTTGCTGACATAAGCATAAGTGTGAGGAGATGACTCACAATACATAGCCACGAATATCCATGAAGTTATATACTTGTGTGGGGGCTCTGAAAATCGTCACCAAGATTTACTAATATAAATAAAAGAGTATTTATATCTAGGGTGATTTTTCAAATGACAAACTATATATGAGGTAAGACACTACCCGAAAAATTATCCTGTTATGAGAACTGTATGATCGGATTTGAGGTTTCTCATAGGCACAAACATCAATGGTTAATAGCCCTCACGATCACAAGAGATAACTTTCAATTAAAGCCAGTTTATACGTTCTATGATGTTTTACTTTGGTAGCAATAATTTAGATTGAGGAAAGAAAGATATTTCATCATTGGCTCAAAGAAGATGCAAGGTAGAATTATGATAAACCCTATCAAAATCAAATGATTCCATCATTGCAAGTTGTCTTGTACTCTAATTCACTTAGTCAGCTCAACCTAATAAAAAAATACTTGTCAACAACTATTAGTGTGTCATCCAAAGAGACCCCATAGACCCTAGTGAAAGCTCAATGAATGTGCCAATTTTAAGACTAACCTTGACTAAGGTTTATTGAACAAAAAAAACTTTGAAACACCCACTGGACCATCAAGCATGCTAAGTGTGGGTCGACACAACATAATGGTCTTCCTCTGATTTATGTGCAGGAAAGAATGTTCGTGTCTCTAAAATCCTGGCCAATTTTATCCCCTTGTGGCCCTAGGATGATGAGCTAGCCTTTTTTCTTACATTTTTCAACTCAGCTTGTTGGGCTTTACGAGCTTTAGAATTTTTCTTTTTCGAATGTCGAAGCTTCCTAATTGATCAAAGAGATTGACCCTCAAGGACTTTGAATTTTGAGTATTCATAATTCATGTAAATAGCAACCCCTTTGACTATGATCTTTTTGATAACCTAGCTCATCATCAAAGTCTTGCGCAAACTTATCTTGCTTTATTGATGCTGGATTAATAGCTAAGTAGAAATTTGATTTGTGTATGGTATGCTTGAAGAAGACAACTCCAAAGGCTAGACTCATTGCCTTGATTTGTTTGGTATAAACTCAAGGTTCAGTTATATGATCTTGAGGGCTATGCATATTGGCACATAAATCGAGATGGCATATGTCTACACTAGTTAGCATTATTCTTCTTCATATTTGTCTTTTGCTTGCCAATATCAACAATATTCAACATTTGTCTCGTCACCTGAAGTCGGCTCGCTAAACTTGTTTTCATTACCAAATCAATCGCTTCAGCATGTGCTTTTGAGCTCTGGCATGATCTATTGATTTCAGCATCTAATGGTACACACCCCTATTGGGAAAGCATGACATAGCATGGATACTTGTTCAACTTATTAAGTAAAATTATTCTTTATTATTGTAAATCTCTTGTCACCATTCTTTAATCAAGACTTCACATGACTTGAATCCTATGTCTGGAGCAAATTCTCTTCTACCAACCAGGTGTAGAACTAGCCTTAGTTCTTAGGGGGACAAACTTATAAAAAAATAAAATATATATAATACAAAATTCAAAATAAATTTTGATATTGCATTATATATGTAAAGTAAAAAAATTATAAACTTTGCCTTCTATTTTACATTTTCTAATAATGTTGCATTACAACTTTTTTAACGAAGGATGACCCATCAAAAAAAATACATGATGCATGCAAATTACTGTTTATTTTCATTTTCATTGTAATTTGAATGTTATAATTTTAGTTTAGTTTTTTTATGTTATCCAATGATGGAAAACATCCAATGATCATGAGTAGGCAATGCTTGGGCATGGCAAACCTTGAGTGTGCTAGCTTCTTGGATTCTTTGATCTTTTGGGTTGTTGATCCTCGGGTTGAGCCTTGGCTATTCGGTTTTGGAATGTGTTCTTTGGGTGCTTATTAGTTCCAGCTCATAATTGCTTGAGCTAAAAGTTTAGCTCATTAATTTGAAAAGGTATTCTTCTTGTTAAGCTCATTAAGTGGAGTTGGAACTTTTCTCTTCCTCTTCTTTGTGCCCCCTCGGTTTCTTGACTTTCTTCCTAGTGCTGTTTCCCATGGCTGGTTCTCCTCCCTTTGCTGGGTGCTAGTTCCGGTCCCCTGTGCTGCCTTTTTGGTTTCTTCCCTGGCTGTTGTGTCGTGGCTGCTTTACCCGGTTCCAATGTTGTCTTTTCGGGTAGGTGCTGTTTTGTTTTGCCTGCTGGCATTCCTCTTCCCCTTACCTGATTGGTTCGGTTGGAGGTGAAAATTGGTTGTTTGGCTGCCCCTTTTCTCTTATAAACTAGAGATGTATTTGTCATGAGGAGTTTGTTGATTATCTTGAGAAAAGTCTCTAAAAACCTAAGGGTTTCTTCTCATTTCTTGGAAAAGCTTGAGAGCTTGTTCCAATTATCTCTTCCTCCTCTCTATTTCATCTTGGCTTCTAATCTCTTCTTCTCTAAGCAAGTTCCACTCCACTTGTATCCTTTTTCTTGAGCTTTTGGAAGGTGTTTGTTGGCTGATTTGGTGACATTTGCTGGAGGAGTTTGGTTGGACGTTGGACCTTGTTGCTGTGGTGGACCTTTGGTTTGCAAGCCCTAAGCACTTATCTTATTTTATCTACTTTTCGTTGCATGTGAGGAAACCGCTTGCCGGTTGTTCTGAGGATGGTGTTTTTTTTTAATTTTGTTTTGTTTGTTCGACTTTGGATTGTTTTGGTGTTTTGTTTGGATGTCGTTTTTCTAGATTGAATCGAGTTTGTTCTAGTTGTCCTAGTGTTCTACTCTATTGGCTCTTTCTTTCTAGTTTGCCTACATCAATACATTAAAATCATTTAATTATTATATTAACCAAAACAACTATATAAATATTATGATTCAATCAAATATACTTTTTGATTTAATATGATTATATGTTATTACCTATTCTAGCCATGAAAATCCCTCATTATTTATATTTAACACATTTTTTAAAAATAAATTTTAGAACATGTCTTAACCTAAATTTTCTCCAAAATTATTGGAGAAAATTAGCTCTTAGGACCCAAAGAGCTAAGTCCACTGTTAATCAAATATCTAAGCCATAGGTAATTACTGACCATAGTTTGCAAATCAAACGAATTATTACAAAGCCCACTTCCAAATTACAGTAAAAATAAAAAGACATATCAATAAAAGAACAGAAAAAAATTTGCAGTCAGAACAAAAAGATAGATCACAGGCTAAAATCATCAAATAAAATGTTGCATTACTCCTCTTAATAAGTAGTAAGAATAATAGAAAGCCAAAAATTACAACTTAACAGACGAATTCATCTGAAGCAAGAAAAAAAAAAGAATGAAAGAAACAAAGGTGCTTACTTGGATTGGAAGAAGGTAAGGTAAGAAGAAGATGGGGTTTTAGGCTTTCGACCTTGGACCTTCGAGCTTCAGACAGCATAACGGCATAGAGCAACAAAGCGAATCAGCGAACAAATGAAACGTCGCCCACGATTTACCAAGGGGGTGAAAAGGGTCAGCTAGTGCAAATAACTAAAATGAGGAGGGGCATATTACCTAATAATCCTTCTTTTAAAGTTTTTTTTTAATTTTTTTAGCCTGATAACCTCTCTTTTAAAGGTTTTTTATTTTTTTAAGGAGGGGCAATTGCTCCCCCCCCCCCGGGCATTGCACAATTCCGCCCTTACTACCAATTAACCCATAATCAACTCTACATCATATCATGGTTGTATTATATATCAATTTGGCCCTAGAATAATGATGTAGAATACTATGGAACTAATATGATTTGTATGCATTATACAACCAAGGGTTTCATGAAGAAAATTTTATGCAATAAATGAAGAGTTTTAATTAAGATATAAGGTTTATAACATCCCTCGAGGCCTCGACATAGAAAGTATTTCATGCATGCATGAATGGCTGGGATTTCTAAATGATAACTAGACTAGAACAATCTATTAAGGGGTCAAGAAGATCAAGAAAGATAAGTAATGAGAATTACTGTGCAATTGGCTCCTTCTAAACCTAATTTAATGTTTCTTTATAAAAAACCTAAACATCTTTCCTTTGACACATCTAGCAGGAGAATAATTTGTGAGCTTGGTCAACATTCAGAGTCAATAGAGACCAAATCAACCAAAACGTTCAATAGAACTATAGAAGAGTTGTAGGAATCAAATAAAAAAGAAATGAAGCTTTAAATCACTTGACTACCACAAAAACGAGAAAAATATTAAGAGGTGCACAAAAAATTAGGTGATAGGATTTTTTTTTTTTTTTTTTTTTTCAACCAAAACGTTCAATAGAACTATAGAAGAGTTGTAGGAATCAAATAAAAAAGAAATGAAGCTTTAAATACTTGACTACCACAAAAACGAGAAAAATATTAAGAGGTGCACAAAATTTTAGGTGATAGGATTTTTTTTTTTTTTTTTTTTTTTTTGGGGGGGGGGGGGGAGAGAGAGAGAGTATGGCAATTAAATTGAAATGACATAAATTGATTTTCAAGCCTAGGTACAAGTTATATTATAGACACATACTTTCCTAATTAAAAAATAAGAAAATTCCATTAACATTTAAATAAAAATTCAAATCTAGTCTGAAAGTAGGAAGTTAATAAGGATAATTCCTAACTAAAAAGGTTAAACCATGAATTTTGAATTTGAATTCACCCTTCTTAATAGTGGATGAATTTCTCATGCATGACTTGATTTGCATAGTCAGATTTAGCTTATTCAAACCTTCTTCGTGTTTGATTATTTCCTAAAAATATGGCCTCCTTGGTAAGATCGCATATAACCTGTGTAAAGTAATTATTTTGGACTTATTTATAATGGAGTAAGGCTGCGCATTAATATAATAGATCTCCTTACTTTTTTAACCTTATTTGAAGTCTATTGGCCTTGATTTTCCATCATTAAAACCTAGATTTACTTGCATGCTCAATTCAATTCCAATTTGTTTGAATTAGGGTGAGAGCCTCCCAATTCATCTATTCATAATGTAGAAAATACCAAGCCCAAGGTGATTATCTCTCATATAGAGGGGAGACAACTTTTCACGCCATGAACCACAAAGAATTAGAGATTGTAAATACAGTTTAAAAAAACAACAATTCTAAAATCCTAAAAATGATGAAATAAACCCTAAATCATGCCGCATCATTACCAAATACCTCAGTAAACCCCAATGATCCCGTCTATAATCAGTTAGCATTTTTATCTCTGAAGAGATTTTCTAAAACAATATACAGCAATGACAATAGTAATGGACTTTCGAAATTTAATACGTGAGAAACAAAAAACGGTACAAGCCATCACAGTGAATTCCCTAGATCACCAAACCCCCGAATGCCAGGGAACCGAAGAGTAAATAATACCAAACGCCGAAGTGCCTACCGAGATAGTGCGCAAGACCCTCGAGACCGACGGGGTCGCTGAAGGAGCCGACGGAGACATTCATGGAAACCGCGGACTGCAGAAGAACACGAAATTGAGAAGCATCTCAGATTCAGAGAAGAAAGGATGATGATTTGAAGGAGGAGAAAGATAATGCCTTATCAGTGTCGGGATCACTGATTAGAAGAGCTTCGAGTGAGTTGGGGAGGATGATACGGCGGTACTCCCGCTTATCTGAGCGCGACTTGAAAATCTCGGATTCGCCCCCGCCGACCGCCATGGAGTTAGGTTCCTTGACGTTCGATCGCCTCCGTGACTTCCTTCTTGCAGTCTCCTCCTATGAATCGCACTCCAGCCGGTAGGAATTGGGACTGTTTGGCTGCGATTTAACTCAAGTAGGATTTACTGAAAATACTGTTAAATACTTAAATCTGGATTTAATTTTGGCGCAATTAAATTCTGAAAATTATTTGGCATAATAAAAATTCAATTTAATTAAATTTTGATGAACTGTTGATTATATATTCTGATATTTAAATCTGTTAATTTAAATAAAATTTTAATATTTAATATATCATCATAAATCATTTTGATTGGGTATGAATCTCGATGAATATTTGAATTTCAAACTTTCAAAACTAAATTCAGCATCATCTGATTTGTGATTTTAGCAAAGTTACTATTGAAATGAAAGTCTCGATGAGTAGAATATAACGATATCAAAAGTTGTCCAAGCCTGAATAAACTCAAATCAAGGGCCTAAAGTATAATTGCGAATTTTAGAATATTAATTAGATGATCAAATGGTCTTCAAATTTATCATGCTTATAATTGAATCAAGTGTCTCTACAAGATGAATCCAACGAGCCTAATATGTTTAATTTCAACATTAGTAGGGCACTAAATTGTTGAACGAATGCTTCATGATCAAAGGAATCAATATGGGTCATCCACTGGAGTGTTTCAGCTTTTTTCTATATTTACGAATATGCCATTCTTCAAAATCTACATATGAAGTGGAGAGGAGCTTGAAGTTAGGGCTTGAACTTTGGCTTGAGATTTAAGAGACCTTTAAGGCTCTAAATATCCCATAGCACCACTTGAGCATCATTATAGAGCCATCGTTAAACTACAATCCTCTAACCACCAATGCTTGACTATTGTTCTTCAATCGATGTCATCCAAGTTTGGTCTTTTGACCACCTTCGTTCAATGACAGACCTCCGACCACCATCTCTCAAATACGGTCATTCGAATATTGTACCCAACCATAATCAACCAGCCAATATCATTCGAATGTGATCCTTCCGACCTCCATCATTCGTTTACGCTCATTTAGACCCCTATCGTCCAACTATGATCCCTCCGACCTCCGTCACCTGACTACGATTATTTAGACCACCATCGCCCAACTATAGTTCTTCCGACCACTGCTACTCTATTATGATTCTTCTAACCATTATTGTCCAATTATGGTTATGTAACCAACATTGTCTGCCTATGAATCTCTAACGTCCTTGCAATCTTCTAACCAGTGTCACATGGCAACTCAACATCCTACCTACGTCATCACTGACCATTAATAATAATGTTAAAATGTGTCATGAATTAAAAGATCATATCATGCGCGCTGTTAACATCAACTTTAACTCCTAATTTCATCACTTGGATTTATGTTAGATTATTGTCAAATAGTTCTTCCAACTTCAACCAACAAATGTGTTCTTTTTTGTATATTAATGTCTTGCCCCAAGGAAGGAATTCACTTGTAATATACTCTAAATATAAGTGGAATCAATTTAAATATGCAAGGTCTCGTTGTTTTCCCTTCCAGCATTTTTATTGTAAAAAGATCTAGTGTATTTAAAATTTTGTTTATTATATGAATTTTTAGGTTATTTAGGGTTCCCCCTCTATCTTTTTCTTACTCAAGTTTTAAAATACTATGATCTTCAGACAATTGCCTCCAATATATCTGCGAAGCGCACAACGATCAAGGATATGAATAAATAGTGGTTGAGCCAAATTCAAGGCAACTCCAGCATACATTTTGTAGAAATTGAATTATTAATCAATTAAATCATTTTGATTTTTTCTTTTCAAACAAATCATCCATACTTCAACCTAATTTTTATTCAAGAAGAATTACTGTTATATAAGATGTTGATGATATTTTTAAAATGTATTATGTATTCAAATACAAAGAATCATTAGCCACTAAAAAAATCTATACACTTTTACTTATAATCCCTCCTTCCCCCCCCCTCAAATTACTTGCAAGGCAAAGCATCAAGCATCTTCATAACAATTTTTCCTCTAATATTTCTATTATTGTAAGAATATTGCAACTGCTTATATTTAATGCAACTATTGAAGCAATTTCACTGATTGGTTATAAAATGATCGATATAGTGTTGTTATTGTGATGTATTATAACTTTTATTTCACAATACATTATACATATCGCACAAGCAATCATGACTATTCTACTATGCATGCTTTATAATATGTTGTGTTATTATGGGTGCAATCAAGTTAAGCCGACTCTCGAGACAGCTAGGACTCGACTCATGAACGAGCTAGCAAGTCAAGCTTATGGAGCTCATGAGTCGAGTTCGAGCAAAATTTCGAGCTCGTTGTATAATTGAGCTTGAGTTCTATCTAACCAAAGCTCAGTTTGATTACTCGCCAACCAACTTGGATGTTTGACATAAAGGTGGGTGGGAATGTGAAATGTCGGACAGGAAGGCGGGATTGTAGCGCATGAGTGCTAAATCGCGGGATGGAAGGAGGGATCGTAGGGCGGGAACCCAAAATCGCGGGCGTACTCGAATGCGGGCTCGGCCTCAGAACACAGGATGTAGTTCATATGTGGGACTTTAGTCGTGGAACGAGCTAGGGGCAAAAGCTCGGACAGAGTTCGGAAACGGGTGTGCACGAAAGGAGTTTGAATGCAGGACAAAGGTCGGATGCGGAACGCCCGATGGAGCACGAATGCAGCTCGACTCATTTGCACCCCAAAGTGTTATAACTATCATAGTTACACTTTATTTTATTAACCACTATTAGTTGCTAAAACACACTCCGTTGTATCTATCATTGTCAAATCATATGTGGATCATATTCAACAATTTTTGAATATTGCTAAAATTTAATCATATTCGTGTTATAACCATATTTGAATCTTGGTCGAAAATGATAAATTTGAATTAGTTTTGAACATGGTTTGTGTGTTAAAGATGTATATCCTGATGAGTTTGAAAATTACAGGATTTATTTTGAGTTAGTGCAATATAAATTTTTTATGGACAACACTAATCTTAAAATAAATCTAATATTTTTCAAGCCTATCCTTATACAAATTACATCAGAATATCCATAAATTTTTTTTCTAAATACTGAAACTAGATATGCATTCAAGTCTTCTAAGAATACATGCTTTTAAGAATTGCTAATGAACTTCTAAGAATCAGGCAAGCAAGTATCATGGTATTATTAATCATGCATGCATACATGTTTTTTCACCTGTTTATAGAAGCCATGCATGAATGCCTACATGCATTTTGTACTACATTATAAGCCATGCATGCGTTCTTTATGACCATCATATTTTTAATGCATTTCATGCTCATTACATGCAAAATAAATAAAAAATAAAAAATAATTATTTTCTTATATATATAAACATGTTATCATTCCTTCAATTAACTTCATTGCATGAATAAAAATTTCAAATACTTCTTGCAATGCTTCTAGCAATGCAAAATCAGTCGAGATATTGGAGTTAACTAAAAATTTGTGAGATTCTTTATTTGTTTTGTTTTAAATAATTCAAATTTGAATGCAATATTTTATTTGGTTATACCATTTTAGAATATTATATTCAATTTCTTATTCAAATTTGAAAGTAACCATTGTTTAATTATATATTAATGTTATTTGCATTATTAGTGACAAAGAAGTAGATTTGGTGAATAAAACAATCAATAATTAATTGAATACTAAATATCAAATATTTTATGCATTTATTTTTCTAGAGAAAATAATCAAATTGGTCAAATAACTTCTTTTTTTGGAGAATCAAATAATCCCTGACTATATAAAAGATCTAATTTGGTCCCTTAACTCTTTAAATAGTAAGGGACCAAATCAGTCATTATGTGGGATCATTTAGGACCCTATTTTCAAAATCAAATATTTAAAATGAGAATTTTAAATAGTGGGCGACCATTTTGATCCATCTTAAAGAGGATTATTTTGAACCTTATCTTTATTTTTCTACTATCTATGTAAATGATAATCATCATTAATGCATCATTTTGTCCTATTTTATTTTAACCATCATTTTAGTTTCTTTACCTAATTTGTGCTTGATTGTTTTTCCCTTTAATTTGCTTTGACTTTTGAAATCTAAATGATTGTTTTTAGATGCTAATTAATTAGCCTTGGCATATTTGTTTCTTTGTTCTTCCCTTGTTTTTTTGAAGGAAGGTAGGAAATAGCAAAAGAACCAGAAAAAATAAAGCATATAGAGTTAAATAAAAGCACATTTGTTTTAGAATGAGACACTTAGGCTTCGTTTGGGATAATTTTTTTACTTCTTTCTAAAACAAATTTTTTTGTAAAAAAAATTCTTGAATTAAATTTTTTTTACTAGAAAGCTGTTTTAGAAAACAATAAAAAGCCGTCCCAATTACGATTTGTTTGGAACGGCTTTTTATTGCTTTACATTTCAGACCACAAACACCGTTTTGATTTGGCCAATGTTTTTTCATTGGTTTTATTATATTTTGGTGCTAAGAAGTTGTTTTCTATAACAGATTTAAAAAATATGTTTTCTACAACAACTTTAACAAAATTGTTTTCTCCACGACAGCTTTACGACCATTTCTTTAAAAAGTTACAATCATCCCAAACGGGCACTTATTTATATCAATATGTTTATCAAAAAAAAAAAAATCTTTGTTATCGTTAACATTACATGGAAATGAGACAAGTATTATAAATAATAAAGCATATATGTTGATAATGGCTATAACAGCCAATTAAAGTGGTAGTGTGGTTGGGGTAGTTTGAGCTACAGTTCTGCTGATCAATGGGAAGTTCACTTTCTATGTGGCGCTCTCTGGAATCACGGCTGAACTGGCTATTTCTGGTTTATATCTTTCAAATATTCTCTCTAAATATATACATTTGCTTGTTTTGGCTTAATTTACAGCAGGAATTACAGCAATGGATGGCTTTTTAGAACAATTTTTCTATGTGAGAAAGCATATTTTTCACAAGAATAACTTTTGCAAGTATGACAACCAAATAATAAGGTTGCAAGCTCACCATGTAAGCTGCTTTTACTCCATGCTTTCATGTCTTACAATGAACATTTTGAC